TTTTTTTCGTTGTTACAACGTTATATCTTTTATAATTTAAATTAAATGTGACTAGTTCAACAATATTCAAATAAAAAATTCAAAACATTACAGGCATATATGTTGCAATTAAACATAAATAGTTCAACAAATAATAATTGTCCGAATATTTAGATTATATGTCTTAAAATTAAAATATTTCAAATTAGATAATTAAGTTAGATGTATTGTTTTTAAGATTTTGGTCAATATTAGATAGTTTAATAAATGTGATATAAAATAGAAATTTAAAATTAAAAATATTAAACATTTTAATTAAAATTAATAAATAAAGTTGGTTGGCCGATATTACCCAACCAACCAACTTTTTATCATATTAGAAACCATTATCAACCCAACTATACATGGGTTGGTTAACATTATCGACCCAAGATAAATGAATCGGTTGATAGTTGATTATCCATCACAAATTATGGGTCGAAAATAGATTAGTAAATAGTTAAAACCGATCCATACACAGAACTATATATATGTATATATATTATGACCATTTTGTTAATCAAAAGTCAAAACTAAAACATGGGAAATGACTTCTACTAAGGGTGGTGATGTGACTTATTCCTTAATTTAAGTAAAAGGAATTACCATTATGGTTATATAGGAAAAAAGTTTCCGTGAGCTTTCATCTATTTAATTTTTAGTATAATCAACATTTTAAGGTATAAGATTTTTTATTGACTTTAATTGCTTTCAAGTAATGAGTTAATTATCAACATGCGATATCATCTGATTTAACGTTGGAGTGTATTTGTTGCTGGAAAACTTTCTGGCGTGTCACATAGTGTGTTAAGTAGTTTTACAGGAAAGACGAACAAGCATTGCATATGATGTTTGTGGCATTCGTGACCTGTATTCTTAAACAAATCTCCGATTTCGACCTTTGAACTACTCATTTCAGGTGATCCCGCATCATAAGGTAATTTCAAACTTAAACAACTATTTCTGTTACGATATAATTTAAAATATTAATAATTACGGGCAAGTTACGGGCTGTTGGTGATGACGATGCATTTGGTCCGACTCTAATACCGTGAACCATCAAAAGTTTGCAAGGCTTATTACCAATTATCTTAATAAAAGTTGGTAATTTAGCGAATTATAAAGAAAGTAATAAGCATTTTTGCATTATTTTTATTTTCATTAAAATTGATTTAAAAAAATAACAAAAAAGAAAGTGTTAGACCTTATGAAGTGGTCACAATCAATTAGTCAAATGTTTAGGGACTTTAATGCAAAATGCCTTCAATTGGAAAAGAAAAAATAAATAATAAGAAAAGGGAAATAAAACTATACGACTTTGGGCCTTTGGCCCACATCTTTTAATCTAAAGCCCTTTTCACGCGTAGACTTGACTTCGACGGTCATCCCAAGACCAACTAAAATTTTAATTAATAGAAAAATGTATAGGTTAAATTACGAAAAAACCCTCAAATTTGGGTAATTACAATCAACCCGCGATTATAAATCTTCTTACACGCCATTTCTTGTTGTATCAAATTTAGTGGAATTTTCTAGATTATATGGAATATTCAATAGTTTGTACTCGTTTTTAACCCATTCGAGCTCCACATTTTGAAACAAGATGATCATAAAATGTGTCTATTGGCTTGTAAATATCAGATTGTGGTGCATCATAAGCTGTATTTTTGCACACAACAGGTACAAACTAGAGAAAATGTAACGAAACTTTAGAAAATTATGTCGAATTTTGACTGGACGTGTAAGAAAATTCATAGTTGATGTGGTTGGTTGTAATTAAAAAGGATATAGTGATCAAAATTGAAAAAAATCGGATTGAAATTGGTGGATTTAGAATCGCAAATAAAAAAATTATGTTCCGACTTCAACCCCAAAACATGTGATTCTTCGTGATGTCTTACATGGTGTTTGCAAAAGCTTATTCAAAAGTAAAAGCTAGTGACTACAAATGAAGTTGATATTAAGTACTTATGTCTAAAAGTTTGAGGCGTTCGCAAATATGATGAAAAGTCAACTTAAACAGAAAAAGCAGGTCCGAGCTTCTCAAATATATCTTTAAGAGCAGAAGTTAATTTTACGAACATAAAAATAAATTATAAGCCAAAAAAAGCTGAGAATCTATTTCTAAAAGTTTTTGCAAACACCACCTTATATATGATTAAAATTGCAAAAGCCTATAAAACAAGACATTCCATTAGAGAGAAGCTCTAGGTTCCTTGGAGGGCCTAGTTACAACAATACTAATACTAGGCCCTAAAAAATAATTAAATCAAAAGCTTCTTTTAATTCACAATGGAGAGATTTTAAGCCCCCCATGGAATTCAATAATCTAAAAACCAAAATTAGTTCAATTGAAAAAAAAAAAGGAACCTAGGCTTCATTGAGAGAGAGAAATCACAGCACTATTTATGTAGGTGGAAAGAATCGATTGAGATTGAACGGCAACGTATAGAATTCTTCGTTCCGATTATCGCCTTTGAATGTTCTAAATTTCACCCACCAAGGCATTCCGCGGTCTTTCTTCGACTTCTCCACATCTAGCGTGTTGTCGAGAATTACAGCGACGATCAATGCAATTGTCGGAGGTGACATGAATATTGTGTTCAAGAACGCGTTGAACTGCAAAAAACAAACATCGGGAATCGGAATATATTAAACTCGGATCGATCATAAATCGGAATTTTACATGTATAATTTCAATTCCGATCCATAAATGTCGAGATAAAGAGGTTATTCAAAAGTTGAAAATTTCGGATTGAAATAGGCAGGTATCAAATTCATAAAGCAATGAAGAAAAATCGAGCAATAAATTCGGTTTGGAAATATAGGGTAGTGAATTTACGAACTCACCCATCCAGCATGAGTGTGCACTAATCCACGACGACCGTTCCAATATTCACTGAAAAACTGAGGGATCGAAATTCCGAGGAAAAGCGAAATACCAGTTATGAATAGGTTCCTCATAGAATTCATATTCGTAAATTGAAGAAACGATAACCCCACGGAACCTAAAATAGAAAACAATTGATAATTTAGGAAATTGAAATAAATAAAAATATATATATCGAAAGTAAAAAAACTTATCGAAGATAAAACGGTACCAACGAGGCCGAATAGCACACAGTATAATCCAGCAAAAATCGGAAAAGGTATTGACGCAAAAACAGCCCCAAATTTCCCTGCATGCAGAGAGAGAAAAAAATACGTATAAATTAGCAATATTAATTTATCGAAATAATATACATATTTAGAAATAATGGTACTAACCGAATATGGAAAAGAATATCATGAAAGCAGCTGAGATTTGAACAACTCTACGACTTCCAACTCGAGTTAGTCCAAGAAGCCCGACATTTTCCCTGAAAAAAAACCGAAAAAACCGAAAAAAAAGCTCGTTTGTGAACCTTAATTTTATCGAAAGAGTATAATTTGAGAATTAATTATTTAAAGTTATTACATCCTTAATTACTTACACAGACACAGTAGAACCAGAGCATGTTCCGAAAAGACCATCGATCAAAACGCCTATTCCCTGCAAAAAATAAAAAATAAAAAATAAATAAAATATAACGAAAAAGAACTATTATATTATATATATAGAGAGAGAGAGAGAGAGACACAAAATTATTTAATTACATAATTAATTTATAAATGCATTTCTAAAAAGTGATGCACACACCTGCCAACCAATGCCGCGGCTGAGTACATAGGCGGGAGGCGGAGTTGCTATTGCCAGACGAGCTGCCGCCTTGTATGCTCCGGTCGACTGCAAATCCAATTAATTCAAATTTTATCTTATATTAATGTTCAAATGAAATGTGGTTAATTAACCCGTATAATTATTTAGGAATCTATTATTGTCGGACCAACGGAAATTATACACACCAAAGAAAATTATATTTAAGCATCGAAACCGAAAAAAAAAAAAAGTCAATTTCTAGCATATTATGAAAAATCAAAAACTTGCCTCAACCATTGACACGAAAACAGCAGACATCATGGCGAAGCAATGACCTGCGGTAAAGGTAGGCGGGCCCCACTGCAGAGGATACGGGAACATAAACCTTAAAAATTACAACAAAAAAAAAAGTTAGATAATTATGAGATGAGGCGAAAAGTAGGGGCGAAAAAGGAAAAAAGAAAAACTGAAAATCGGACACAAACCATGGGGCAGACGATACAAGATTGGATTTGTCTGTACGACAGCTCAGCTGAGTAGTAATCGGTTTTCCACGGTAAGCTCCACTAGCCGTTAGTATGAGGGAGTATATCCAAATTATAATCACACAAACCAATACGGAAAATCGTTCGAAAATCGGGAATTCCCTCACTATTTTCACATGCTTCATATACTGCAATAGTAAAAACACACTTGCGTGAATTTTCTTTTAAAAAATAATTGAATTTCTTTTTTCGAAAAAAACGAGAGAGAGAAACTAACCTGAGACAATGCAATGACTAAGAAAAGCATCGGCAACCCAATCTCTACACAATTCCCCAGCTGCAAAAAAAATATAAATATGTGACATGCAATATTAACGTGTCTACTTATCGACGTGGTGAAGACACGACACGTGGTTATTTTAATTTCGTCGAAATTAGATTCCTCGCATTCGATGCTGCCTAGTTTTCGACATTATCTTTACCTAATACAAGTGCATGCAATATTTACGTACGTAAATATTTCCCTTTCGAGCTGAATCGCATAATCAACATAGAAAACTAAGAACCCTACGGAAATATATAAATATGGAACGAAAAAAAAAACGAAAATAACAAAAATAAACTTACTGCAGGAAAGCCTTGTTGGAATAAACCCAAACCGACCAAGCCAACGACCGGTGCCATTCCAAGAGGACTAAAAAACCTGAAAAGATTAAATTTTTAAATACCTAGGCATGTCGATTTTTAATTTCTTTTTTAAAGACTTGGGGATAAATGGTTACGAAAACCGTACCGTGAAAAGAGACCCCATACTTGGCTGTAGCCTATAATTATTTGTATGCTCGATGCAACGATTAGAGCTCCTTGTATAGCTCTCATCGTATGTATAAATCTCTGCAAAAACGGTCGAAAAATCAAACACTATTTACCAATGCTTCATTACACTAACAAAGATATTATCTTTATTCGATTTAGTTAATAATAATACTGCACATAAAGGACAGTTAAGTATACTTACCGAATGAGGATCCTCGATCCGTTGTAACGACGAGTCGTTAATTATATATGCAATGGAAATAACGTAAGTGAGGGACCCACCGACAACGGTAGGTAACCTTGTTCCGAATAAAGACTGAAGAAGTGTGTTGAATCCAGCTACGAAAAGCAGAGTTTGGACAACACGTGCTTTGTCCTCCTTTTCGATCAACAGAAAAAATAAGATTAGGAAACTAAATTAATGTAAGTAAAAACTTGTAAAAAAAAGTACAAGAACCGATGTACGAATATATAACATGCATTTTCTTGGTTTACGTGCAGCGAATAGCCGAATACCAAACTTTAAGACGCGAGTTTTGAGGTTAAAAACGGTTTGAGAAATCGACTTACGTCGGATCCACCCATAACTGGAACGAGCATTGTTGGAATCATTACACTTGTTCCGAGCACGACTATGTAATTCTGAAATGCTAAAACGATTATTTCGGCTGCAGAAACGAAAAAGGGAAAGATATCAGTGGACTGTATATAAGATCAAGAATTATCGAGGGTTCGTTAGATTTACAACGATTTGGAAACGGAGTTAGTCGAATTAACTTAGTTGAGAATTGGAGACCCCGATTTCTTCTTCTCTCTTTTGTTCGGAGAAGTCGAACATTAATGCACTCAACAGACAGATATCTAAATCATCCCAAGTTCAAGAATTTACAGAACTAGGACAGCATAAGAATTTTTCGAAAATTAAATCTAATATTTTAATCAGCCAAAAAATAAAATTAAAAATTAAAAATAAAATAAAAAATTAAGCCACAATCTCAAGAAACACACACAACGCACACCCATAAAGCACGAATCAACCATGAGTACAGACAGCTTCATCTTTTACCAGACCTGTAAATGAACCAATGCCCTCAACCCCCTGTCCGTACACACACACACACACACACACACACACCATTTCTTGAATTTCACACACACACACACACACACTAAAAAACATATATAAAAAGATATTATAAAATAAAATAAAATAAAAAAGAAAATAGAGGCAAAACCCTCAAAGAAGAAACACATAATAGACACAAAAACCATGCCCATGAGTGTAGATTTTGTCAGTGTGTGTAAAGTTAGTGTGTGAGAAGTGTGTGAGAGAGAAAGGAAAAAAAAGGTGGTGAAGACATACGCCATGGAGGGTTAGAATCAATGCAGTACTCAAGGTCTTGCAGCTGTTCCATGGGAGGGTGCGTTATGTCACCCATTTTACTGTGTGTTTTGTGCGTGAGAGAGAAAGAGAAGAAGAGAACAGATTGTAGAGAGAGAGAGTGAGTGAAGAGAGGGAGAAAGAGAGAGGAGGTAAGGCACAAAGTAAAGCAGCAAACAAGCAAATAGCACATAAAAATAAGGTCCAACTCCAAGAATATATAAAAGCAAAAAATATATATATGTGTGTGTGTGTGTGTGTGTGTGTGTGAATTAAGGAATAAATGTTTCTTTTTTGTGATGGGGAAAAATAATAAACACGTACAGCACACACTAAACCCCACTTTTATTAAGGTTCCTCGTATGTAGCGAACATTTGTTAATTTTAATTAATTAATTTATTTATTTATTTGAATTTTATTTATTTTGAATTTTGTAATACTTTGAGAATTGAGGGAACTCGTAATCTCGTGTCAAAATCAAATGCCATTTGTGGGATGGAATTAAATTTATTTTTCTTACAAGAAAAGAAAAATCAAATCTGGCACAGGCATATATCCATTAATGCATTTACCCTCATCAATTTATTTGAATTTTCATACCACTTTGCCTTTTTTCTTTTTAAATGTAATCGGGTGATTTTTAGCCGTTAATCTGCACATACTCACACACATCAATGCGTATCTGTGTTTAATGCAAAGCTATTTCACTATATCGACGATTAAAAAACCCCGAGTTTTTTTTGATCGATTGATTGACATATTAGTTAACCGTACTTTGATGTACGTAAATAAAATGTTTTTATTGGCGTGTAATATTAATCATCGATCGTGCCATTAAAGAAACTAAATAACGAATAGAAACACATTCGTTATTTCTATTTTCACGCAAAATAATACGTGGAGTAACTTTGATTCTAATATAATAAAATGATTTTTAATAAATATATGGAAGATAATAAACCAAAAAATAATGATATTCAATATCGACGTACTCGAAACAAATCATTTCGCGAAAAGCTTTACAATATATAGATTTATTATCTTTTGAATTTAGTACTATCGCGGTCTAAAAAAAAAAAGAATTTAGTACTATCGCCTTCACTAAAATAAAAGTTTTAGCTCCGCCACTGATTTAACATGTTCAATAAATTTTGTGAAAGTATGTCACTGGAATTATAGAATTGCAAACAATTATCAAGGTCATAAAAAAAATTGATTTTATATTATTTAGCATTAATATAGTGTAATACATGAACTTCCTATTTTACCCTTTCGTGAAAAAATATTGTAATCCAATTTCTAATTTGAGAAAATCAATTACCTTTAATTCAAATTTTTATTTGCTTTTTTTTTTCTTTGCTTTGCATTTATTACATGTATGTATATTTATTTCCTGTGAATTTGCTAGCTTACTAGGTACTAGATTATTCAAATAAAACAACTCAGCAGATACCAAAAGTTTAAAATAATTAAAAAAAAAAATCAAATATGAGAATTTATGCCATTTCTTTAGTGAAAGAAAACTATTTTAAATGGTAATTTGGTGAAATAAATTCTGGTGACAACTGTTTATATTTATTTTTATTTTTCAAAAATAGTAATTAAATTATTGCAAAGAATATTATATTACAGTACGTCCAGTCATAGCTTATCCTGATTAAGAATAAATTTAATGATTTTCTTTTAAAGAATATTAATTTTAATCCCTATTAAGAAACACAAATGTGTTGAACTAGTAATAGTCTTTTCATCTCCTTCAAGACTTTCTAGTTTCTACCATAACTACTAGTATTTATTTATTTATTTATTTTTGAATATTTTCATAATTATTATCTAATATGGTAAAATTAATTATCAGTGTCCTAATAAAATTATAATAAACCGAATTCAAAATATATGAATGAAAAGATCTATCATATTTTTTCAACCAAGTCAAGGCCCAACCAAAATTTTTAAGGCCCAAACTAATTTGATTTTTTTCAGGTTCGAAATTTACAAATACCGTTTACTCTCTACTCTCCTTTCATTTTTATTAAGAAACATTTCTCAAACTATTATATTTTAATTCGTTCCAAAACCCGTGTAGTTGAAGCGATGTACAAACGAAAAACGAGTGCGTCGAATGATGATCAGAATACACATCACGATGAGGTAAAAAATATTCCTTTTCGTTTGATAAATTTTGAAAAGATGGCTCACAACTAAAATTGGCGCGCGGTTACATGCCCATATGGGCGTGGATACTGCTTGTGGATGCCCAAATCGGGCGCCGACATGTCATTTTTATTTTATTTATTTTTATTTGTTTAATAAAATCTCAATTTTGTGTTGTTTCATTATATTTTCAGGAAGACCAACAAAATTCGTCTACATTTGAAGTTGATCATAGTGAATATTTTGTAATAACCGACATATTTAACTCGTGAGATTAGTTGATAGACTCGGCAAGGGTAACCGCCAAGAGTCTTGGTGTAAAGTTGATGAAGAAAAATAGTCCTAAGAATAAAATATGTGATCTCTTTGGGACGAAGCGTGTAACTGCAAGAAATATTAATGTGGAAAGTACAAATACAGTAGAACCTCCATAAATTAATACTCGATAAATTAATAACCTCGATTAAATAATAGTTTCTCTTGGTCCCGATTTGGTGAAAACGTATTAAATTATTTCGATAATTTAATAACTCGCTAAATTCATAGAAT